AAATATATTCTATTTGTTTGGGCTTGAGAGAAAAGATCATCCATCAATGGAAAAAAGAGAGGAAAGCATAAAAGAAATAAAAGGAAATTCTAGAGTACATGGAAATCTAAACTAATTCAGGTTAACTTTTCGTGGAGGTGAAAATATGTGGAATTAAGAGTGATTCCTCTATAAATCAGATTAAACCTTTGGAATTTAATCTATATCTCTTTCGTCTCCTTTCACTTTTGAATAAAAAATTTAAATGGGAATGGAAAACACTGTTCATTGGCTTAACATAAATCTTTAAATTGCAGTTAGCTTCACCCTCAAAAAGTAGTTGAATCTCTGAGGAAAAAGAAAAGGCTCAATTCTATTTTTCATAAATGATGGATTATTGTACCACACTGTGTATTTTCCAGTAAAGTGCTTTTATTTGTACTGTGTGATTACAAGTTTCTAAAAGTATGTGTGGGGTCACTCGGGTGCTGTGGGAAAATGGAAGGAACACTGTTCTGTTAAAATCAGTAGTGAAATCAGAAGCAAACTATGTCCTGATTATCATAGGCATGTGTTTAAATTTTGCTTTCCTTAATTGGTTATGTTGTATTTACTTAAAATGAACAATTTGGCAAGTTTTTCTCCCTTGACAACAGAAAAGCATAAACTGTTTTATAAGTTTGGCTGTTAAAATCAGATTTGTAAACCACAATATTCGAAGACTTTTACTGCCGTTTACGGGGACCTGGTGATGGACTTTGGTTTATAACCATGTGCTTTTTACATTTTTAGTTAGTATTTATAGCGCTTTCAAGTTATTTGGTTAATAAAAAGTATGCCATATATTATAGTCATCTATTGACTTTAACTTCTGCATAACTCTTCTTAGAACAAAATGAGTGGAATGAATGATGGCAAAGTCCTTGTAATTTGACTTGTCATCTGAGGACGATTATTTATGGTATCAGGAAATGGAAGTTGACGTTCTAGTCTGTCTCCAGGAAAGTCATCATTAGAGGCAACTTTGGAGAGTTTGGCTACATTAAAAGCTATGTAATAATATCTAAGACTCCGCAAATTTCTCAGTGGTTGTGAAAAGAAACAAGATAAAACATTAAAAAAAATAAATTTTCGTTTTCCTTGCAAAACCAATACACCTTACGCTCATTTCTCACATGTAGAGCCAGATGGTGGTATTGAAAACAATATAATATACATATATATCTCTCTAATTAAGAATACTATCACCAGAGTACCTAAGGGGTTCCAAAAAAGATATAACTCACTATATAATTATTTTCACAATCTCACATTTATACTGTGTGTATGTGTTTTAATTTGCAAAGTACTTTCTAATCACATCATTTTTACTAGTTCCAAAATGACAGGAAAAAATACCTCCTTTGGCCCTGTATTTCTTGGCATTCTGTCATAGAAAATGACAAGATTTTGAAATGAGACTAGAAATAGAAAATATTACCTTTGGTAACCTGTGAAAATTTAGATTGACTATTCCGTATCATTTCAAAGGCAGACTTGAGACCAAAATTATCCTGAGGCAGATTTTTTCTGAAGGGTGTTAGGTGTTCCTCCAGCCTCCAATACGAGAACCCAGACCCATGGGGCTTTGATACAGCTATCAGTTGAAGCAGATCATGTACGACTGGTGGTCGTTGCAATGACTGGACCCAGATGAAAGTTGATAAGATATCATGCAGGCACAGTATATTAAGATGCTCAGAATGACTCTTCCAATCATACAATTTGAATAGGTGAATGCCTGATATTTACGGTCCTGTAAAAGCAATTGTTGCTTGCAGGGATTCTCACGGCACTTGCTATTTCTCCAAAATGACCTGAGGTCAATTTCTCCTCTAAGATCTGTTAGTCTCTTGTACTTCATACTCCTTACCACGAATCTCATACCCCTTATCATACTGTATTATGATTATGTAGGCCATATGCGTTTTTATCCACGACAGTTAAATCCAGCACTGCCATGTATGTAGTAGGTGGTCAATTGGTGTGGTTTTTTTAATCATCTAGTGGCACTGTCCAGAAATATAATGTGAGCCACATGTGTAATCGAATATCTTCTAGTAGCTATATTTTAAAAGTAACAAGAAATAAGTTTTAATAATATATTAATTTTAATGGTATATTTTATTTTAACCAAAAATATCCAAAATATTATTATTTCAACCTGTGACACAAGCTGCATTTCAAGTGCTCAATAACCCCAAGTGACTAGTGGCTACCATATTGGACAGCACAGGTCTAAAGCAGTGCTTCTCAAAGTTTAAGTTCAAGTACACATAGAAAATGATACTATTTGTATGGATAGCCCTGGAGTAAATGGATAAGACTGCTCATAGCCAACAGCAGCTGCCCCAGGTGCTCAAGCTGCCTTGGTCCTCCTCAGTTACCCTGAGTGCTGAAGACATCCATAACTCTCACCCCATATAACTATTCTGCCAGGCACAATAGTTGGGAAGCTAACTCGGGTCTACAGCAGTGGTTCCCAACCTTTTCAAGTGATAGAATTATTGACCCTTCTCACATGATAGTGGTTATACTTTTATAACCAATTCACTTAATAAATAGATAGCAGATAGATGACAGAAGATGATAGATCAGATACGTATGTTTTATATATATATATATATGCTATTTATAGAGGTATATTATTAAAATAATACTTTTTTTTTTTGCTTTGCACAATTTCTTTACATTTTCCCAATGTGTGAGTAGAACCTTCCACCACCAATAAATGAAAACTTAAGCAAGTCCTATAACTTTTCCCACCAGTTTAGAGCAGTGATTCTCAACAGGGAACAATTTTTCCTCCCAGGAGATATTTGGCAATGTCTGGGGACATTTTTGATTGTCACAACTGAGGAGGGGGTGCTACTGGCATATTGTGGGTAGATGCCAGGGAGGCTTCTCAACATCCTACTCATCCCGCCCAGGACAAGCCCCTATGAAAAAGAATTGTCTGGCCTAAAAGTTCAATAGTGCCAAAACCAAGATTGAGAACACTCCTTTAAGGTAATATAAAATACTATGGTCCTTTTAAGTGGCAAATATTGTCTCAATGCAGTATTTAATAGTGCCTAATGTCATATGATAATCAAAACCTTGAACTTAATTTAAAATTAAAACTTCATTCTTCACGTAGCTAGGAAGAGGGCAGCATATTTTTCTCTCTCTGTCCTCAGCCTTACACTTCATCCCAAATCCCCATGCTGCTAACACAAGTTTGCAACTACTTTGTGGTCAGAGCTAGGGGATAGAGGATGCAAAATTGTCCTTACTTGACCGTTTACAAGCAGGCTTCTCACACTCTGGGCCAGGCAGACATTCTCCCTTACGCACTTTTCTGGGTTCCTTGGAGACCCCACTAGGAAAATTTGACTTCAAATCCTCCCGTTCAGGCAATTTATTTTCTTCCAGCTGCAGCTTCTTCCTAAGTCTCTCTTTCTCTTTTTTTCTTCTGAGTTCCTCAGGAGGAGACAGAATGGCCCGAGTCTAGCCCCCCTACAGCTAAAACTTAGCAAATGTTTTACACTCAATTACGACTTAAAAGAATTTAGTGGATTGAAACCATTCTGCTTTAAAGTGAGTAATTGAGCTGCTGATATTTTTATTTCCATTCCCTTCCATTCTTTCACCAATACTCCAATAAATTAAAATACCAGATAAAAATCCTGTGAGACTAGTCCCATATCCAGACTTGGCCTTGGGCAAGTGACTTAACCTCTTTGCCTCAGGTTCTTCATCTCTGGATGATTATATAATTATAATAAATTTATATAATAATAATAATTATTATTTTTTCGTATTTCAAGAGGTCATTTGAGAATTGATTCAACAGATATTGACTGAATATTTATTATAAGATAATGCTTGAAGTATTAGGGACATATTAGTGAACAACATTTACAAAAGTAAATAAAAATCTCTGCTCACATGGAGGTTACATTGCAGTAGAATTAATTAAATCACATTAGATGCTCGGCAGAGTATCAAGCACGTAGTATGGTCTCAATACATTTTTAGATATATTATTATTAACCCAATTGAATGATTGGCTTATTCTAAGATATGATATGAGAAGAAAAGAGCCCCTATGTGCCTGATTATATTATGTCAATAATTGGGTTAAGACAGTTGAGGGAGGGCCCAGTTAAGATCTATATCTTATCTCACAGAGACAATAAATTCCTATCTGTCATTAATTATGTTATTTAGACTCTATATGTGATGAAGGTCCAGACCTTAAGTGTTATGTCATCACTGAATTATTGACTTTAGCATGGAGGATGGTGATCAGTAGACATTCAGCAAACATTTGTTCAGGAATGAATTTGACACACCCCAACTTTGCAGATAAAGGTAAGGATAGGGAGCTGAGGATAGGGAACTGATGAAGACAGGGAAAAAGTTTGAGGCAAATTTGTGTTTCAGAATTTCACCTAGAACTGGTAGTAATTTCACATCAATAAGGAGAATAAGAGATATCCGCTTTAGAAAAATAAATCAGTTTGGGTTAACATAAAAAAAAAAAAAGACTGGCAAAATTATTTGGATGACTAGAACCTTTGAAAATGCCTGAATTATAGGCATTTTAATCATAATAGGTTGAAATTAACAATTCTAAAAAGTTTTTTCCCCGAGTTTACATGAATTTTTCTTTATTCTGACCATAATTTTCTGTATAGATACAAATAGGTGTAATTATCCAGGTAAAGGTTATCATGTTAAATATGAAGGAATGAAAATGAAAATAAATTGTGAATACATGGAGCTAACCACATTCTCATTGCACATTCATGTTGCAAGGGAGCTAATATTTTCATATGGGCAAATTTTACGCATACCCTCTATATAAACAGAAGGGCCTGAGCTATTAATTCAGGTAGTTATTCCGTAACTACTGTTTTCTATTTGTATTTGCATAAAGTAATAATCATAAAGGAGAAATTTACTGAAAGCCTCTGACTTTCTTTTTTAATCTCCAGTGTTCAGACTGCATCACAGTGCTTCCGATACAAGCGACAAAAACCGAGTTAAAAGCAGATTAAAGAAGTTTATTACCCGAAGACCTTCCCTGAAAACTCTGCAAGAAAAAGGACTTATTAAAGGTAGAGAATGTTTTATACTTTTACTGTAACAGTGATAAATGATTGTACCTCTGTGTCTATAGCTATTTAGCTCTAAAGGAATATTAGGATATTTTACTCTTTTTAGGTTGCTTACTCAATGTTCTGCTCTATAACAGAGGAAAAAAATAGTTGTCCAGAAAACTAATCCTGAGAAAACAAAGGTTGCATCATAGGATCATTGAAAAACATACCTAGTTTTGCCCTCAGAGGATCTGGGCTCTGCACTAGCAGCAGAGAAGGGATATTCTAGTGGCCCATCAGAATGAATGCATGTCCCCATGTGCCTAGACAATCCTGGTTTACACCTGTTGTCCCACCATACTTAATAACAGCAGCCCTTTTCCCTTTCAGATGTGTCCGGATTTAGAAAACAAGTTATCTGATCAACCCGTCATAGTCTGAAATAAGTGCTAGGAAGAAAGTGCTAGAAAGGAAGTCTGAGACAAACTAGTGTCATGGAAACGTATGGATCTGAGAGCTGGAGGATTGAGAGTTCAATCTAAACTGAAATCAGCAAGTACTTTTGCAAATATATCTCAAGAAAGGAATAAAATATCCTCAACCAACCTAGCCAACAGAATAGAAAAACGTAGACTCTGGCATTAGACTGATTGGAATTCAGACTTTGGTTCCACCACTCACTCGTATTGATGTGGAACAGGTTGTGATCTCTCTGAGCCTCAGATTTCTCATCTGTTAAATGGGGGTCCTTACACCCACCATTGAGAGGGCCATCGAGAGGAATAAGTGAGATAATCCATGAAAAGCATTTAACAGAGTTTCTGGAAGATAAGTATTCAGTAAGTGTCCTCTGCTATTAATGCCATTATTGTTCATTACTGTTGTTACTACTGTTAGTGTGCCAGATAGATGAAAAGATGGATGGATAGAAAGATCCAGTGATATAGTCGATTTCCATAACTAGAAATCACCTTATAGATCACACAGGCAAAATGTATTATTTACCTAACAAGCAAACATATGTATCGAGTCCATTATTCTCCCTGTTTTTCAAATTTTCTGACTGACGGATATATTTTGAAAATTAAATATACGAAAGAATTTGAAAATGGGCTAAAATAAACTCCTAAAATAAACTCTGAGGAAAAGTTGAAAGACTGATCCTTGTAGAAGTCAAAAGGTGATTTAATATACAATTATTTCTCAGGAACAGGGCAAAGCAGATCTTAGTATTTTCAGTAATACTTAGTATGAGAATTATTTAAATAGTCTACAATAATTGTTTGATCTATCTATTTCAGTCCATTTTGAAACAAGTGTACATATCACAAAAATCATCCGGCATTCTGAATAAATTGTGAAAAGTGAAATTTTGTGAAGTATGAGTATATATATCACTAATAGAATGGAAAATTCTTAGAATGGAAGCATTTGGGGGTAGAACCAGCATCTGCTTTAAATCAGGCTTACCTCAGACTTGTACTCTCTGAGGATGTCCTTTTCAGTGTCACAGACAGTATTTGATCTCCTACAGATTCAACTTCATATAACAATATACCAGCAGTTTTAATTCTACCTTAGAATTCATCCTATAGCTTCTTAAAAAGGATTCAGTTGTGGGTTACCTGCCATCTGGAAAAACCATAAAGCTAGATTAGCAGCCCAAACAATCCCAATTTGACATAAAGTCCATATTTTTCATGACTGTGATAAAATGAAAGGGATTTTAATTCAATGGCAGGGACTGGCCCCAATTAAAATGCTAAAGAATTAATAACTATAGTGCTCTAGAATTGGTCTCAGAAAGCAGCAGAGGAACTGTACGCCTAATGCAGTTTTCATACTGATGTAATGGAACCACTGAACACACTCCGATGTGTGCATTTCCTATCTTAGAGCTCCATTAAATTTTCACCATAGCTGACCAATGAGTCAGTATTCATTAGTAAGGCTATGGAAAATCTATGTGAAATTCTGATTTGATAAGCTTCCATTGTTGTCTTCAGTGGAATTTTCTTCCAAATACAGATCAAGTTACGCAAATATAGTCACTTTTTGGGCTTGTTTCAGTTTTAACCATGAATTTTTTTTTAAGGCTTTTACTAAGATTTTTAACTGAGTAAAAGGCATTAAACCAATTTTTAAAAATACAGGCCCAGTCAAATTTAGTACTTTAAGTGCATTTTCTTTGTATATCTAGGGGAAAGACTTAGAAAAAGCAATGATATTATTTTTGATTGGTTACAAAAAAAATCATATAAAATAATGATTAATGAGGAAATGGTTAATTTCTCCAAGTAAAAGGAATTAACTCTATAAAGGAGAAAATTATTTAGAAAGTGGGATAATGGTCTTTAAAATTGTTTTACAGTGCATTTTCCCAAAGAATACGCATCAAATTCTTTAAACTGTTTAATCTTCCAGATCTGGAATAAAAGGTCTGGTTGGCCTCCAGTTAGCCTTGGCCAATTACCTTGGTTCCATTACCAAGGTTAGGAAAGCTGTGCCTGGTGGTTTGGGTTTTATAAGTGTGCTTCGTGGTACCTGGGAAGGGCTCTGTGGGGCACAGTTACTTTTCCAAGTGTTTACTCTTTCATGTAATGTTACCAGGAGGTGTTGAGAGGGCTGACCTTTGAATACAGCCAGCCTTTATTGAGCACCCACCGTAGAGCAGGAAGGGCTATGCTTGATTGACTTTACAATGTCCAGCAGAACAATATCCGCAAAGCACTGGTGAAATGTGAATTGAGAATTGTCCCAAAATCACACAGTCTAAACTCAGTCACAAACCCTTTCTTCACAACCTGTTTTTTGGACTCATGGAGACCTGGCTAATATGTGATTTCCTTGGCTAGAATCTAGATCTGGAAACAGTCACTTGATGGGGCTGCATGTTCTAATTTCTTTAATATAACTAATGAGAAGGATACATTCCGATGCCAAAAAAAGAGCCAGCAGATAATTCTGAATGATCACTCAATGGAAAGAAATCTTAATAGCCCAGGCGGGTGTAGCAGTCATTGTACCATTGCAGTGGTACCTTCTGAAAAGCCTTCAGTTTCTCCAAGTGCATTCACATTTGCCAGGGAATGGTGAGCGCTTTTTAAATGTGTGAGTTTATTGCATTGAGCGTCTTGTTGGAAACAAAACTCAAATCAGTTTAATATGTAAATTATAGGCAAGAGGGTACATTTTAGGGTGGTAGGTGTGTTTGTACAGAGACTCTACTTGCTTTTGGAATTGAAGTTATAGCTTTTTAGTATCAGCCAAACTACCTTATGTAATCTTGCAAATAACAGCATTGACATCCAAGAACAGGAAATATTTAGCAATGCAATTTTTAGAAAAGATAACAATTGTTTGTTTTGTTAGGAGCAACTAGTATTTCCTTGCATCAAAATGATCGAGAAGATTGTATGTTTAGAAAGTAGTTTCTTTCATTTTAATATGGACAAAACCATACTGGATGGCATTAGTAGAAATTGAAAGTAGTGCTGTACTACTTCTATTTTTCAATCAGTATATTATAAAGGAAACAACCTGTTTAAAGATTAAATAATACACCTCCAGGATTTATGGTGAAAAGCAGTGCTTTCCTGCCTCATCCCAGTTTTTCTCATTAGCAAGTCCACTTGGAACTGTTTCTATTTGTAGTTCTTCTGGTGGTTGCCTCCATATCTTATGTTATTGTTATTTGGGGTATAGATTAGGGTTTTTTGATCACTATCTTTCTTATCTTTAATGTTATAATGTCTTGATTTATCAAGATTAGACATTACCTCAGATTTTTTACACTAGGCATGAATTCAACTCAATTAAACCAGACCTCATCTACCTGGCCCTTTTCCTCCTCAATTACTCATGGTCAAATCCAGCTGGTCTCACTGTTTCCATTGGCTTTCTCTGGAACTTCCAACTTCCTTAAATCTCTATTTATTGTTCTATTAACCACAGAAAATTGAGACTTAATGCCTCCATTGACAAGAGGAGGAATTTAGTGCCCTCTACCCCTCTCATCTCCTCTACCTTTGCTGTTGTAATCTTTACCTCTACATGAAGAAAATTTGCATTATTTAACTGGTTTCTACAATTATGACTTATTTATAGGTTGATTCTAAAAGTTAAAAACCATAAAACAGCATTCCTACGATTATGATTACGTAGGATTGTTTTCTGTAGCACCAAGTATTAGACTTCCTTCTCTGTTCTTACAATACCATGACCCCTCTGACCCTCAAAGAGTAATGCCCCTTGATCATGGTGAAAAAGACTCTCCATTCTTTCCATTTGAAAGTTATATTAGTACATTTATGTTGTACTATCAATTCCTCCATTTTCCCCTCATCTTTTGGATCTAAGTGTGAAAAAAATCAGTCGCCAGCATTTACTTTATACTGACCATGTAAATATTATGGAATTTTTGGCCAAGTAATTTGCAGATTAGATTAACATATCCATGGCTCCAATGCTATGCCTTACAGACCACACAAGTTACAATGTTCTTGTTTTTAAGCTTATGCTCCATCATTTGCTTATAGTCATACTGTCTTTTAGTTTGATTCTTTTTTTTTTTTTTTTTTTTTTTGGTAAGGAAGTTCAACCCTGAGCTAACATCCGATGCTAATCCTCCTCTTTTTGCAGAGGAAGATTGTCCCTGGGCTAACATCCATGCCCATCTTCCTCTACTTTATATGGGACGCCGCCACAGCGTGGCTTGACAAGAGGTGCGTCGGTGCGCACCCTGGATCCGAACCTGCGAACCCTCGGGCTGCCAAAGCGGAGCGTGCACACTTAACCACTATGCTGCCGGGCTGCTCCCTAGTTTGATTCATTTTTTGATTGTGAATTTCTTGTATAGATTTCTTTTCCCCCACAATTTCATTTTTTTCTTGCTTTCTAGGCCTTTACGTCATCAAGTGATTTAATCCTCTCAAGTGAACAGTCTATGTATTCTGGTCTGTGACTCCCTGCATTTTTCCCCAGAATATCTTCTGAAGTCCTTCCATCATCTTGCTCTA